AGATGATTGAATGGTGAGCATAGGTAGGATGACCCAAGGGTAGCAGGTAGAGAAGAAAGAGCAATGGAGTCCTGGGGGCACAACAGACATTTAAAAAGGACCAGCAGAGGAAGAGTTACCATGAAGGAGACGGTGGAAGGAGGACAGAAAGGACAAAGCAGATGCAGGAAAGTGAAATATTACAGAAGCCAAAGGGTAGAGTGTGTCCCAGAGGGCTGGACATCTGGTGGTGGTGGTCCGGGACAAGAACACTGGTGACATTTCAGTCTTGATAGAATGGTGGAAATGGATGTTTGATGGAATGAAGTTCTTGAGAAATGAGGAGGCAGAGCTGAGGTGAAACCCTATCCTTGCAGAGTTCTGAGTACATAGGGAAGAAGTAACAGGGGTTGGACAGCATCACAGGATCCCAAAGTTGGTTTTCGAGGGTGGAGAGAGATCCTTTTTAGAGGTTTGGGGAGGATCCACTTAGAAGCAGAGGCTGAAGATACAGGAGAAAGTCAAGAGGTAGTGGAGCTCTGGCCTGGAAAATGTGTGGCCTTTAACACCAAATGAATTAACTTGATTTCTGATTCTGCTCTTAGCCAGCACAGCTCTTTGGGAAAGCCGCTTAAGTTGTTTGTTTGTTTGTTTTGTCTTCATCTGTGAAACAGGTGCATTAATACCAATCGGCTGATGTTGTTATAAGGATTAGAGATTGGGTGTGTGGGATACCTTTCACAAAGCAGGTACTTCAACTTAAGTTAGTTCTCTTATGTCTCATACCTATACAAAAACATTTTTAGGCCTTTTATGACGAGAGTTTTCAACATACACAAGAACAGAAAGAATAGTATAATGAAATCCCATGTGACCATAGTATAGTTTCACCAACTGTCAAGTTCAAGTCAATATTATTGTTCTACATATCTTACAATACCTCTTTGCTTTCATTATTTCGAAGCAAATCCAAGTTGTCCTATCATCTTGTTTATAAATATTTCAGACTGAATCTCTAAAGATGAGGAGACTTAACATAAAGTTGATACCATCATCACTCCTAGCTCCAGAGAAATAGCAAAGATTTCTTAAAATTCCTAAACGTCTACTTCACATTCCTCTAATTGTTCTCTATATACTTCCTTTCCTAAGTTCCACACATTGTAACTGTTTAGTGTCTCTTCTATTACTTTAACCTGTAGGTTTCTTCTTCTGCCTCTAATTTTCTTTTTGTCACTGAGTATTTCCATATTTCCACTGACTGCCTTCCCATCATGTCATTTTTTGTGTGTGTGTTAACATGTTTCTCTGCTTCTGGTAGTTCTGTAAATTAGTAGTTGGAGGTTTGATTAGCATCAGGCTTGATACTTTTGGTACGGCTAGGACTTCCAAGGGGTTGTTATGAAAACATAAATTTTTTTTTTGTAAATTTGCAGACACTGGTGATTATTGCCTAGAACTACCAGTTCATTTAGTTTTTGCAATTATTATTTTAAAGTTGCTTCTTAACATTAGGGCTATAATGGAAGTGAATCTCCCCCCAAATCAGTGAACATGTAATGCATATTGAGTGCCAAGTGAATTGAAAATTAATTTTTATTCAAAAAATATTGGCTGACTTCTGTACTCTATGACAAGCATGGTTCTAGCTGCTGAAGACAGAGTAGTGTAGATAGGTTTATCTGTATGAAGGTTTGGGGCTCATAGATCTGAAAATAAAAGGCTCAGGGTTTTGTGAAGTTGGTGAGGGTTTTGGAAGAACTGCTCAGACTGCATGCATAGCTATTGACCAGTGAGGACGGTGAGGTGGATGGACGGGTCAGCAGCTGGGACATGCCAGTGGGCAAGGAAGTGGTTTGAGACAGGTGTACCCTGAAATGTTTGGAGCACCCATGGCCTGAGCAGTACTTGGAAAAAAGGATGAAGCACTGAAATAATTTTCAAGGATGATCTCTTACCATGCCAGAAAGGTCACATACAAAACACAAAGTATTTCATTTTTTTCGCAATAAAAATCGTGTAGAAACAACACACGATCTATTCTATGTTTATTCTAAGCATTAATACATAGTGAAATATAACTATAGGATAAACTGGTTTTATTATTTTTGTTTCTGTTTTGGGCATACATTAGAATCAAGTTCTTTTATTCTCTATTAACTATGACACGTTGGTTCCTGTTTTACGAGGATGTACTTTCCAACCCCGAGTTCTTCAGGATGCCGGGGTCCTCTTGTTTGCATGCGGTCTTCCTGGTCATTGTCTTCAGGTTATTTGGGCAGCCTTCCATCTGGCATGCAGGAAGATCCAGTGATCTAAGCAGCCACAAGCAACATTTGAGGCAAGGCAGGTCCTTCAGACCATGTGTGGTTCTCCACTTTCATCTGGCACTAACCAGTTACTTTGTTACTTTGTTACTTTTTTGGTCAGAAAAGGCAGCAACTTTGCTTTGAAACCACCTGCCTCTGGGGATGGGGTCCTGCCTCTTTCAGTTCTATTGTGAATCTATTGACAGGTGGGTCTGGGTCCTTGCATGGAGCCTCTGCTCTGACGTCCCTATACCATACTCCCCCAAAGACAGCTCCATCTGTGACGGTGAGGACTGGGCATTCATTATTGGAGATTGTCTTCATGGCTTCATGCATTTGTCCTGTGTGAAAATGCAGACACTTTAGAGAGAAGACCCCACTGTATACCTGAGTCAACAGGTAAATGGGGTTGCTTCCTGAGAGTGGGTTGTGGTTAGAAAGATAGATAAATTTCTTGAGTGGAGGGTCATGGCATCCAGAGAAGAAGAAAACAAAAGAGTCGTGAGTGTGGGCACTGAAGACATACTTCCACATCATGCCAGGTTGTGGTCACTTACTTACTGCCTCTTACCTCCCACGGTGCAGAATGGCTCACACAAAAATTCGATTCTCTTCTTTTTTTTTTCATTTCTTTCATGTTCTGTTGTTTTTTAACAGTGTGCTAGTGTCTGATTTAGCCATTTCTTCATAGAGTCCCTTATTTCCTTCTTTCTTTTCCCACATCTTCCTTTCCCTGTCTTAATTTTTTTTTGAGTTGGAGTCTCACTCTGTCACCCAGACTGGAGTGCAGTGGATGCTCCCGGCCACCGCAGCCTCGACCTGCTGGGCTCCGGCGATCCTTCCGCCTCAGCCTTCTGAGTAGCCGGAACTACAGGCGTGCGCTACCACACCCGGCTGATTTTTTGATTTATTGTAGAGATGAGGTGTCGCTGCCCAGGCGGGTCTCAAACCCGCGGGCTCAGGCAATCCACTCACCTCAGCCTCCCAAAGGCGCGGGTTTACAGGCTGAGCCACTGAGCCCGGCTACCTGTCCTAATTTTTATTTCAATTTTTTTGTTTTCTTTAAGCTTTTATGTTCTTATCTTTAATTTATGAATTTTTTCCTCTTTCCTTCTATTCCTTCTCTTTTCTTGTGTTGGTTCATCACCTAAAGATGAAATGTATTCTGGGTACCTGTTATGTGGGTAAAGTGTTAACTTTGGTAAACAGTTGTATGGTCACATGCAGGAAAACTGGAGCACTGTGGTTTTCTCTTTACAACATTTTGACTCCTCGTGGAACCAAATGCTGAAGACAAAAAGCTAGTTATCAATGGGGATGAAACTATTCTAGACATAGTGTTCTAGTACAATAGAGATAGAAACTCTTACTACATTTTAGAAGTAATTATACTCTCTTTGAATGTACATCATCTTTTCCTCCTCTCTCTTTGTCTCTCTCCTTCTATTTCCCTCTCCCTCTACTTTTCTCCCCTCCCCTCCCCTCCCCCTCTTTGTAAGCCAAGACAGTGACTCTTGGGCCAGCCCTGAGCAAAACTGTCCTATGGATGGAGAGACAGATGCTCTTCCAATTACTGTATTTCTCAAGTGCCAGCCAGCTTTGTGACATCCTTACCACTCAGCCTTCCTTCTCTACTTAAACAGTGGATCAGAATTCTTTTTTGGCCTCAGTAACACTAACAAATGAAATAAGATGTTAATCACTAATAAATAAATCCACGTTTATCGCTTTGGGCTATCTTAATTTTGAGAATAATTTCTGAGTTTATGTTTTTAGATCAGGTTCCCAAACTTTTTGGTCTCAGGATCCCTTTATAATCTTAAAAATTATTGAGGACCTCCAAGGAGTGTTGGTTTATATAAGTTATATCTATCATATTTAGTGTATTAGAAATTAACATTGAGCAAAATTTCAAACACAAGAATTTTCAAGCACACATCCCATCCAGAAATATCTACTGTGTACTCGTGAGAGAATGATGAGGGTAAATTATATCTTAATAATTTAAGATCAAAATAGGTGTGACCTTGCAGATCCATGAAAGAAGCATAGGGATCTTCTGGGGTCCCCAAATATACAGTAAGAATCATCGACTTAGATATTTGGTGAAATTTACTGGGAATTTCCTGGGAATTCCAGAAATGGCATCAGGAAGGTAGGAAAATTCTGGGGAACTTTCTTGGTACCAGGAATTCATAACACATTTGGGTACCGGTCTACCTATGTAAGGCAATCTTGTATATCTGAAAAATGAGTTTATGTATGGGTTTAAGGAAAATGATTTGATTTCTTTGTTATGGTGGTTAAAACCTTTGTCGGTATGATTATAATCTGGAAATTTGATTCTCAGAGTCAGTGTTTTAGTCACTGCCCATCATTATTGCAGAGTCGTCTTGTTGCAAAATTCAGCCTTTTGATATGATAGCTACCCAGGAAAGCACCAGGGGTTTTGGTTATGTTTCTCACTACATGGTTAACCAAGTAACACTCAGAAAACCATGTGTGAACAATCATATCCTCTTTTTTATTTATCTCTTGGCCTTAAAATGAAAGTCTTCTCACAAAAATGTAGTATAAAGATAAAATTTACAACTGGTGAAACTATGTTAAGTAACATCACCGATCATTTTGCTAGAACTTCTGTGAGTAGCTTCCACCGCCATGTCCAGGAATTTGACAACCTACATCTAATTATTTACTTCTTCTTTTCAGATAGTTTTGAGATAGCTGTGCCATCAAATAGTCACATAGTCTCAGAACCTGGACAAAATATTACACTCGCCTGTCAGCAACAAATGACGTGGCCGGTTCAACAAGTTACGTGGGAAAAGATCCAGCCCCATCAGATTGACCTCTTGATGTATTGCAACTTGTTCCAAGGCAGAAATTACACCTCAAAGTACCGGAGACAAATATTGATCAACTGCAGCCAGGGAGGGAGGAGCTTCATCATTATCCCAAATGTCACTACCTCTGACTCGGGACTTTACCGCTGCTGTTTCCAGGCACACACAGGAGAAAATGAAACCTTTGTGATGACAGTGACCATAACAGATGGTGAGTGAGTAACACACGTCGCCAAGTGTCAAAAATGAAACAGCCAACCACTGTGGATTGGGTCCTGTTCTATTTATTTGTAGTAAACATGGGACTATTGTGAAACAATTTTTTTAAATGGTTGAATTGAATTGAGTTGTCCATTTTTAAATTGTGGTAGTTAGTATTTCTTTATCTCATAAATCCATCCTTTGCAGATATAACAATGTTATAAATGGTTGAATTTAGTTGAGTTGTCCATTGTCCATTATTAAATTGTGGTAGTTAGTATTTCTTTATCTTATAAATTCATCCATTGCAGATAGGACAGTGTTATAAATGGTTGAATTTACTTGGGTTGTCCATTTTCTGTTATTAAATTGTGGTAGTTAGTATTTCTTTATCTCATAAATCTATCCATTGTAGATATAACAACGTTATAAATAGTTGAATTTAGGTGAGTTGTCCATTGTCAAACTGTGGTAGTATTTCTTTATTTCTTAAATCCACCCATTACAGATATAACAATAAAAATGTTTCCTGTCTTCTTATCTGCCACATTCCTGAAAATAAAAAAAATCAGTAAAAGTCTGAAAAACGTATCTATTACTGGTCTACTTGTTTCAGCCATATGGCTCCTGTCATTCCAATTACATTAGAATTGTTGATAGTAGTCACAGGGCGTTAGAACCTGTATGTATGCCCGGCAGTAATGCAGTCACAAGAGAGTACTAGATTGGTATGACTGAATCAGTGCTGAGTTGAGTAGAATTCAGTAAGTGTTTGAGAATGTGGACACCAGTTTGCCAGATGGAAGACTTGTTTCAATCAGTCGTGTTCAGACATGGCCACAGAAACAGACGGACCTTGAGGCTAGTGAAACTCGCCTTCAGGGCTTCCACCTGGGCAGGTCCCTTCCTGGGCACTGAACTACTTCTCTTTTAGCAATTTGTTTCCATTGTCGAACCCGCGAGCTCAGGCAATCCAATAGTGAACCTCTACATTGTGCAAGCTTCAGACCCCACAAAATGTAGGTCCACCTTGTAGGAGTGTGAGAAAAAGTTATTTTTTTCCACTTACGGAAGTACAAATATAGAGAGACCCATATGGAGGCCTGTAGTACAGTTGTGAGAGAGGAAGGGAATCTCAGACTTTCCCAATTCTGTCTCTGGTCAAGCGTTCTCAGTGTCGTGGACATGTGAGGAAAAAGAATGTATGGCTACCAGTGGCAGAAATTTGAATTCACATTGTTCTCCCATCTTCCCTTTCTCTCTTTTCCTTTCCTGTTTTGTTTATTTTTCCTTTCCTTATCTTATCCTCCCTGTTTCCCTCCCTCCCTCCCTTCCTTTTCCCCTATTTCTTCCCTCTCTTTCTCTCCTTTCCTTCCTTTTCTTCTCTCCCTTCTTCTCCCTCCTACCTCCCCTCTGATCTTCCTCCCTTCCTTCTGTTCCTCCCTTCCTCCCTCTCTCCCTTCCATATGCTTTCAGCCAATTCATTTAGCTTGGCTTATTTTAGACTTTTAGAGTCAAGGTTTCCTAGGCTTTGGCTGTCCTTCATAGATTCTGCTTATATTGCAGACTGATATTTCCTTCTGCCTTAGAAATGAAGAAAATGTTTGCATGAACAGCAACCTCCACTACTGCCTCTGCAGCAGCTGTGTGTAATAAGGACATTAGCCAGAGTAGGGCATTTTTTAATACACAGTCAGCTTGGACCACGTCAAGCCTTCTTTGTTCCTTTTAATGACAGTATGAGTGCTGGGTGAGACATACATTGGATTTATATGCAAGAGTGGTTGATGAAAATGAGTAGAAACTCTTCATTTTAAATGTTGACCCTATTCCTTCAGACACAGACAGCAAATACTTCTTACCTAAAAAAACCTATATTGTATTACAAAAATGTTTTCTGAACCTGTCCAGAAAAATGAAAGTGTGAAAACAGACACTGACCTTTTCTTAGAGACTAAGGCAAGAAATTGTTCTACCCATAAAAATGCCATAAAGAATCATTTTTGAACACATAAAATAAGATCTTGTCCATTATATGTTGAAAAGTTAATATAAACATCTTCAATCATATAGAAATGAAAGTAATAGATTTTTAGGTGGTATAGTTATTTAATTCTTACAAATTAAAAATGCCATTCATTTGTCCAAAGATGACTACATTTCTGCACAAAACTATTTCTTTGTACAAAATTATAAACAATGTCAAAAATCTGCTCATGAAATGGAAATGACTAAATATAATGGTCAGCATTATTAGTGTCCATGTGTTTTGAACAGTTGCAAATTTTTTTGACATTCAGTTGACAGACTGAAAGAATATCAATGGGGTCTTTTATCCATTAGTAAAAAATTATAATTGACAGAAGATGACAGCCATTTACTGTATGTTTAGATTTAATTCCTTTTTTCAATCATTGCAAGTGGAAGATTGAATATTAAAAATTAGACAAAGCAAAATAGATCATTTGTGTTTTCTCTAGTGCAATTTGATTATTTCAAGTCTTGAGGCTGTTTGGTCAAAAATCAATGTAGAGATTAATGCAGAGAGACAAGTATAAGATGTGGAGCAGATTTAATTTATTGTAACGTCAAGGGAAAGGTGACTGTGACACAGATTTTATAAACTGCTGTACACACTTTTATTAGTTTCCATCAACTTTTTGAATAGGACATAGTGTTGAATCTAAAAGAAATTTTTTTAGGATTCTCATATTCATGCACACACACGGACACACACCACACACAGGGGCTCTTCCTTTGACTTCTGCCTGCCGATGTTTATCTTTAGACAAGTACCAAGCAGTCACAGGTCACCCAAGAGAAAATATGGTGCCCACCGATAGATAATGTATTCAGCCTTGGTCCATTTTGAACAGAGGGGAGAAACTGGCAGAAAAACAAGATAAACCCAAAATTTACCAGTGATTTTGTTGTTGTTGTTGCTGTTGAATGAAATGAAATACCAGGGGTGTCAAAAAAATGTATACACATTCGCTCAAAAGATGGTATTAATCAAATGAATGTTAGTATCACCATGTAACAGGCAGGACAGTAGAATGGCTGGTGCAACCATCTACCAAGTATGACTTGTAATCTGTATATACTGAGTATTATAATTTTAATAGTTTTTTTCTTTCTTAAAATGTGTATACATTTTTTGGCACCCTCTGTATTTGCCTCCTGTCCCTTTTTCTTATGACCTGGGAAGCAGTATGAAATAGTTCCAGACTGACTTTTCTGAATTTGAAATTAGTCTGAATCCAAATGCAAAGAATTGGGGGAAATGTGTGTATTGACAGTGAACAAAACTATTTTTGGCCCTCAATATCCTTTGGATTTTTACCTGTCCTAGAAGTGTTTTAGGAGCCACCAAGAGAATTTGTGAAGTCGTTTAATATTAACTAAATGATGTGCAATCTACTATTGCTTAAACTGAGCTTATTTATTATAAAAAAGACAAAGACAAAAGGGATAAAATCAGCTGTCTAGTTTGGGACAAACTTCTGTTTGCCACTGATAGGTATAATTACTTATGTCCTTGTACAATCTCTTCCACCAAGAAGGTCATTCAGCTAAACCACCAAGTTTCAAATGAGACATTGATGATTATAACTGGGGAATGAGGGCAAAACAGGTTATGAGGAGTAACCCCAAATATGCAGAAGGCATGGGAGATATGTGGGAGGTTGCAGTCAAATGACTGGGTTAGTGCAGAGAGTCTAGGTTATGGATTAATATAGAATGAGGTAGGTTAAATTAAAGGATAACTTGGTGGAATTCTGCATTCTTTATAACAGTCTAGGAAAGCCACTATTGATTCTTGAGAAAAGATGGCAAAGCAATATTCAAGAAAGAGTAAGTTGTTTTATAATTTTTAATGTATAAGTCTTTCATCTCCTTGGTTAAGTTTATTCCTAAGTATTTTATTCTTTTTGCTACTATTATGAATGGGATTGCTTTTTTATTTTTTTTGGATCACTTATTTTTTGCACAGCAATATGATGGATTTTTTCGTGTTGTTTTGGATCCTGTCACTTTACTGATTTCATTTCTTTGTTCTGACAGTTTCTTTTGTGGAGTTTTTAGAGTTTTATACATACAAAATCATGTCATCTGCAAACAGAGATGTTATCACTTCTTTTCTAATTTGAATGCCCCCTTTTCCTTTTTCTTGTCTAATGTTTCTGGCTAGGACTTCTAATACTATTTGAGTACAAGTGGTGAGAGTGGGCATCCTTGTCTTGTTCCTGATCTTAGAAGGAAAGTTTTTAGTTTTACATTGTTCAGTATTATGTTAGCTGTGGACTTTTTAAAAATAGGGCCTTTTTTGTGTTAAGTTCCTTCTATTACTCATTTGTCAAGAGTTTTTAATCATAAAAGAATGCTAAATTTTTCAAATATTTTTTCTGTTGTGATGATTATGTGGTCTTTTTTATATCGTTTTGTTAACGTGGTGTATTACATTGATTGATTGATGTATGTTGAGCCATCTTTGTATCCCAGGGGTAAATCATCATGTGTGATCTTTTGAATGTGATGATGAATTCAGTTTGACAGTATTTTGTTGAGGATTTTTGCATCTGTGTTTACTAAAGGTCTTGGCCTGTAGTTTTCTTCTATTATAGAGTCTGGTTTTGATATCATGATGCTGCTGGTCTCATAAAGTGAGTTTGGAAGTGTTTCCTCTGTTCTATGTTTTAGAAACGTTTATGAGGGATGGGTATTAATTGTTCTTTGAATGTTCAGTAGCATTAATATGCAAAGTCACCCGGTCCTGGGATTAGTGGTGGGCCCCTGGCCCTGATCCACCTTGGCTGGCCCAAGGGGAGAGAGATTTGGTCAGTGTTATTGGAATCTCAGTTTGTGCTTTTCCATTGCCTTGAAACAGCCACTCATACTTTCTTCCTTTCTCCTCTTCCTAACCAACCAAAAAACTTCACCACATTTACCTTATTTCCTGTAGAGCTTCAGTCAGGTCTCACTGTCTTCATGTTTTTTCCACATTAGCCC